ATCTTAATTCCAGTCTCGCTTATCCTCAAGAGGTGATTTTTAACTCTTGAGTGTGAACCGGTAAACTCCTCTCTGTAATAATTGTATCTCCATCTTAAATTTCCTCCTGTCATTCTTCCCCTTTTCTCCAATTCGGTAACATATTTTCAAAGCGAACATTTGTCATCTTGTACTCCTCTCTGCAATAACCGCTTATCTGGCTTGTTATATCTCGTAAGTCATAATATAGTTGATCAATGGCTTCAAGGTATTTTCTTTTGCTAGATTATTTGCATGTAACTTTATAATAAGCTTATGATTCCTTTACTATTTGAAGAATAAAGTATGAGAATTTATAAATACTTACTAATTTTTTCTTGCATCTTCCACGGTGAATGCTTCTTTGATTGGAATAAAGTTGTTCAATATGTTCTTTAAGAAAATCTCGGTAGGTGCTTTCATAATAGATATACCTTTTGTCAATGTTAATTCAAATGATTCATGTGCGTTTTCAAATTTTAGGTTGATTTTCTTAACATTTCAATTTGAAATAAAAACAACTTGATTCTTTTGTAGGACATCTCTGAATTTTCTAATAGTTTCTCCATATGTAAATTCTTGTATTTTTTACCGATGTGAATATTATTAACATCAGAGATTAAGATAATCAATTAATGCTAAGCTATTATATTATAGTTTTTAATTTATTTTATTTTATTTAGTCTTTTATCAACTAATATCACTAATATATGTTTGCTACTCTAACTTATTAGTAACATTATATACAGTTACTTTAATTTATACAATGACATTAACTTTTAATTTATCAATTTATTTTTCAAATTATTATACCTTAACTGGATGTTTTAATCTATTCTTATAGCTAGTTTTTTTACCAATATCAACTTAGACTATTTTTAGATGCTGAAAAGGGATAGTAAACCTTAAATTAAAAATTAAATCTATAAATCTTAATAAAAGAATATCAAGTAAGTACTCTTTTCTTTACCAAGTTTTACTATTTCATCCACTTTTTTGTTGTGATTTTGTACTTTTGAGGCTATGTTTTACAATTTTTAAAACTTTAAAGTTTTTTTTAAATTAAAAATTTTAAGTTGTGTACTCGTAATTTCCATATTTTATGTGTTAGTGCTAATTTTTTAAAGGATATTTCTTGCAGCCTTGAAATTTTAAAAGTTTCTTTTATAGTTATTGAAACTTTGAATTGTTTTTTGCAGAATTCAAAATTTTAGCGATCTACTATAATTTCTTGGTTTGATGTATGATGGTTATAAGTTTTGAATTTTAACTTTCATAATTTTTATAACTTTGAGGTTATTTTTAATAAATTTTAAATTTTCAGGTGTCTGATGGTTATCTCTTGGATTCATCTATAATATTTTTAAGTTTTGAAATTTTAGAATTTCAAGGTGCTTTTTTATAATTTAAACTTTTAAGAGTGTTTCTACAAATTTTAAAATATTAAGAGTATTAATTACAAATTTAAATTCGTAGGGGGTTGATGTTAATTTTCAATTTCATATTTGTTGTCTTAAGTTTTGAAAAGTAAGTGTGTTTTGTGTAATTATGAACTTTTGAGATTGTTTTGTGCAATATTTGAATTTTTTAGGTTTTCTATAATACTTCATATATTATAGTATGTTATCTACCTATGATTTCTTTACCTTATCAAACTAATACCGTGGAGCTATTTCATATATTTTATTAATCTTATTTTTATAAACATTTTTGAGCTATAGATAGTTAACTTGTGATTAAGATAGAATATAATAAGGATTAGGATAGATTAAGATTTAAATAAAATATTTAAATAGTTAAGGGTAATATTGATATGTATTTTGTAAGTTTTGAAATTAATTTTTGAGGGAGTTTTTTGTAATTTTTGTAGCTTTGAGGTTAAGTTTTACAAATTTTAAATTTTTAGGTGCCTGATAAACCCATTGGTTTCATCTATGATGTTTTCAAGTTTTAAAATTTTAGTGTGTTTTTTATAATTTAAACTTTTGAGGTTTTTCTATAGTTTTTGAAATATTAAGGGTGTTAATTACAAAATTTAAATTTAGGGCGTTAATTATAAATTTTTCAGAAGAAATGAGAATGTTGAGATGGTCTTGTTGGTATCCACTAAAAGATATGATAAGAAATGAATATATCCGTAAAAATTAGAGGTTGCTCCTATTGAGGATAAAATGAGAGAGAATCGATTAAGGTGGTATGGTCATGTACAACATAGACCTTAGTGCACCAGTTAGAAAAAGTAATAATATTATAGCTAATAAAGTAAAGAGATCCAGAGGTAGACCTAGAAGGACTTCGTTGGAGGCAATTAAAAAGGATATGATTATGGTTAGCTTTATAGAGGAGATGACCCATAATAGAATGGACTGGAAGAATAGAATTCATATAGTCAATCCTAAACATTTGGGATAGAGGGTATGTTATTATTGTTGTTGTGTTAATTATAAATTTTAAATTCTTATGGCTATTGTTAATTTCTAGATTTCATTTTCGTTAATTGAATTTTTTTTAAATTCAGGATGTTTATTATTTTGAACTTTTGAGGGTGTTCTGTGCAATTTTCAAAAAATTTTGGGTTTTTTTCATAATACTTCATGTATTATAGTATGAAACTTTTTGGTCTTCTTTTTTGTAATACTTCATATATTATAGTACGTTAGCTATAGGAAGTCACGTAATCATACGAGATTAGTATAGGATATATTTAGGATTAAGATAGATTAAGGTTTAAATGAAATATTCAAAATAATGAAGGATAATATTTACCATGAAAAACTTTTTCCAAACTCGTACTTTTAAAGGAAGTATGATAAGTATTAGCCAAACATCCCCTTAAGTTATCCATTACCTTAATTTTCACGGGGTTTTTCTGAAACTAGTACCTTAAATCTTTTCATGTTTTGAAATAAGTCGCTTAAATCATCAAGCTTGCTATTAGATCTCCAACTTATCTTAAAGTTAGTCTCTTCAATCACTGAAATTGCTATCACGTCCCCAAAATCTGAAGTCATTATGAAATTAGCCCCTTCAGTCAAGAATAGTAGTAGGAAGGAGAGAGATTAGTTTGGAACTACTTATGAGAACTTGGGGATCTAGTTGTAATTTCAATGATTTTGGGTGACTAATTTCTTTCTATTTTCCTTTCCACTCTTGGTTTGAGAAGCTAATTTCAAAATAAGTTAAGATTTACGAACCTAATGGCAATTTCAATTATTTGAGGGACTATTATTGAAATAGCTTAATATTTAGGTGACCTAATAGCAATTTCCATGATCAAAGGGACAAATTTCAAAATATAAAAGATTTTAAGGGACTAATATAAAAAACCACTTTTTTCAAATCATTCAATAATTATGAACAGTTAATTATATAGGGATTTTATTTTAATAAATTAATATTAACAATATGGGGGCGTATTTTTACTTTGGTACCACAAAGTTACTCTTTTTATCACTTCGATACTCTAAAGTATTTTTTAGCACTTTAAAATCTCAAAGTTTCAATTTCATTTCATTTTGATACCTGTAGCAGATTATATTAGATTTTTATTAAATTTGTATTACGTTTAGATTCATTTCACTCAGTTTCTATAGAATCAAGCAATCAGATGTTCTCAGTTGTGGTGGATGGAGATACTTCTTTTACCATCCCATTATCTTTTTTAATGTTAAATTATTAAAACTATCACAATTTTGGTCTTGAACATATAATTCTAAATAAAATATAAGAGAAAATGGGTATGTTTGGTACCAGACACAAATTTTGTGTTTGACAGTGAGATGTCATATTCTCATCCACTCATTCTAATTTTCCAACCACTCATCAACCTATGTGAATGTGGACGCCGATTTTAATGAGTGGAGGAGAATATGTCACCTCACTAACAAACATAAAAACTTGTACTTGATACCAAGCATACTCATTTCTCTCAAAATATAAATTATATTATTATCATTTTTTAATTTTTTAACCTTCTTCTCATGATCTTCTAGCTAATGATATTAATTACTTGATTTGCATTTTAAATAAATCCTAATAACTTAAAAATATTGTGGTACATTTTGATAAAGTCATACGACTATTCAGTATGGGCGACCTTCATGTTAGCTATACTAATTAACCAGCTATAAGCTAGGTCATAAGTTAGCTCATAAAGAGTGTTATTAAGAGAGTTAGGGTTTGACGAGGGTTAACTTTTGCTTTATATTCACCATTATAAATTTACCAAAAAAATATTTGTCAAATCGAAATTAAATTCCAAACTATAATTAGGAGCGAAATGAAATAAGGTCGAAGCAATATAAAAGCAGTATAAATTTTTGAACAAAATTGACATTATTAGATCTCCTCGGATCTTTCCCATTGTCACATATACTTAATAAATTTCTGCATAAAATAAAGATTTAATTGTAGTTGCATCTCTTGTATGGTAGGGGGACATTCACTTATTATTCCTAAACTTTACAATTAGCGATTTTAACTTATGATTTCAAATTGAAGTTATTTCCCTGTTATTTATACTCATCATACGAGTGTCATGAGATGCCAATGTGTTGTAGAGAGATTCCATAGTATTTCATGGCCTTTAAGGAGATCATTGTTTGGTGTTGAGCATGCACATTCTATAGAAAATGTATCGATAACAGGGAAATAACTCTGTTAGATTCCAGGAAAGTTAAATGTTAAACGAACAAAAGTTTACTGATGATAAACAACTAGTTTGTAATCTCAATTAGCCTCAGAAGAGAAGAGCTCTTCTTATCCATCAATTCATTCAACAAACATTTACATTTGATGGTCTACAATCATGCATCCTCCCTTTCAGCAAAACCAGCAATCTAAATCAAATTCTCCACCGCGAACTCTCTCTAAATTTAGACATTTTCTCCACACTTTGCGCATTCTCACAAACTGATCCCGTCCCTCGTTTCCCAACCCCTAACTCCTATAAATTTGGCCTTGCTTCATAACATTCACCTCGTAGTTCCTCCAAGTTCTTGAGTTCAAAATAACCTCCTCTCCTTAACAAATCCAACTTCTTCTTCCTCCTCTCGCTCCACCAGGAAACCATGGGTGCTTGTGCTAGCAGACCCGAGGTCCTGGAAGGTGATGCCCCCGCTGAGCGCCCTGTGGCCGAAGAAACCCCCGTTGTTGCCTCCGAGTTGACGACAGGGGAACCCACTGCCACCGTCGAGGTAAGTTTTTGTAGATGATGAGTTTAAGCTGCATAACCATTGTGATAAATATATCTGACAAAGAATGATTGTGACAGTATTTACATTGTTTCCATCTTCAATATCTGTTTGCGATGCGCCTTCCTTCTGCATTAAATTTAGTAGACCCTGTTCATTTTGGTAAAAAGATGATAATATCCTTGGTTATATATATAAATGACGATGACCACATAAGAATCCTTCAAGGGACATTCTAATGTTTGTTTGACAGAATGTACTACGTACCTTAAAAAAAACTTTGTAAGTGCGAAGAAATACAACTGAAAGTATATTAAGAAAAAAAAACAGGCGAAACTTTCTGGAATTCATGTGCCATATAGACAAAACTTCCCTCTGTATTATGAAAAAAAATGTATGTTTGCACCGTCTGCGATAAAGATGAAAATGTTCGTCTCTGCAATACTCTGTCTTTGTCGATCAGCCGTTTACTGCTGGTCGGTTGTAGTTTGTACATGCACCAAGACGATACTAATTACCATATTTGGCGATATGTATCGCATTATTTTTCCTGCAGAACGCAATAGAGTCGAGCGAGAGCAAAGAGGAGGAGAAGAGCGAAGAGAAGGTAGAGGAGGCACCTCTAGTCGACCTTTCTGAACCAAAGGAAGAGAAGCCCAAGGCCGAGGAAAAAGCAACACCAGAGCCAAAAGTTGAAGAGGAGAACAATGTAGCTCCCGAGGAAACCAAGGAAGCGCCAAAGGGGGAAGTTGCCGCCAAAACCGAAGAAGTTGCTAAGGAGAACAAGGAGAACGTTGCCGAGCTCGTTGTGGAGAAGCCTGCAGAGGAGAAGGACGTTGAAGCTAAACCAACGACAGCATAAAATTAATGCGGCAAATGTATCTTGATTCTTCGTGATTTCTGATGTTGGATTTTACTTTGTCTAACCTCGTTTAATTAGCAAGTGCTGAAATTGCAAAGTTATTGAAGGTATCAATTGCATGATTGTTCATTAATTTGTGTGTTTATAATTGAATTTTGTGAATTTTAACTCTTTGAGAACGTGACTAGCAAAAGGCCGCAGCATAAATTGCTTAAAACTTCTGCAGCATTAATTGCTTAAAACTTACTTTATAGCTCGGTTGAAATTCACAAAATATTCATCAACTATTGGATGTTTTGTGCAAAATTACTTGTAAAGTCGACACAGCATATGGTGAGCATACGGTGAGGATTGAGAGTTATAACTTTATATTCTAACAATACTTTAACAGATTGAACACTCCTTCATGAGTTAAAATTATGATATGCATAACAAAATTCTGGACGACTGTAATTAAAGGCGCTCTAATGGGGGAGGGCGAAAGGCTTTGATCTAAAGACGAGAAATCGTCAACAGCTTGGTAGAATAATGTTAAAATCCATAATGAATAGTAATTGTCGTTACATGTGTTTCTATTTATCAGTGAATAATAAATCCATTTTTGAGGCATTAGTTTTTTTTCCTCTTTTAGTTTTTCTTGATGAAGGATTCTTAGAAGAGATTGATTGAGAAGAATAATTGAAAGTGAAAATAGGATTTAGATAATAATTAGGCTTCTCACCAAGGGGGATCACATGGGTGAAGAGCTTCAATCTGCCGGCAAGAAACCGTCGACGCCTAGGCGGAATAATATTGTAATTCACAACGAATAATAATTTTTGCTATTGTTCACATGTGAGTAGCAATGAGTATTACCATTCATCCATGAAGAGTAAATTCATTTTTGGGGTATTAGATTTTTTCCCTTTTTTTCTTAATGAGGAATTATTTTTCAAAGATTGATTGAGGAGAATAATTGAAAGGAGATAAAAGATCGAGTTTAGATAATAACTAGGCTTCATGCCTACCGGTCTCACCCCAAGGATAAATCACATGCCAAAGAATTCCAAAGTGACAAATCACATACCAAAATACACATCATGTGCTCAATAAAGAATTCTCATAAATCAATTTTTTTTAATTCATCAACATCTATTCGATAGAGAATTCTTATAAATCATAAGTGTATTCATCAATGTCTATTTGTCATGAAGAATTACAAGTTTACTTATAGAGAGAAACTTAAATCAAATCCTAATAAAAGAGGAATAAAGATAAAATTTTTAACAAAATAAAATCCCAGAGATCTTAAAAATCATAAATCAAATCCTAAAAAAATCTTTCCTAAAGATAGATATTACATAAAATATTATTAAAATAACAAAGATTCTAATTAATCTCTAAAAAAGATTATCAACGACCCAATGGTCCGGCTTCGCGCTCGCTTTGGGTCCCTCCTAAATAAGCGGGCCAATGTTTCTTAAGAACGAGAAATTGTTTCTTAACGCCATCATCCCACAAACTAAAGCATGACACGTTTATCCTAATGCCCACTTGGGCTACCAAAACTTCAGCCTAAGATTGGATTTCACGGTGAATTGCATTTTTCTTTTTAGGGCTTTTTTATTTCTAACCCCATTTGTTTACTTCACTTTATCTATAAACCTAATGACTATTTGTTGTATCTTTACACCTAATTTTTTTTTTTTTGTATTTATCTTTAAACCCAACTTTCAAAATACAGTAGACTGAACACATGTATTTATACAGAAACATTGTAAAATTCCCAAAATATCCTTTCAATAGCCCCATATAAAACTCAGTTCCTCGATCTCTCCTTATTATCCTCATTTCATCTCTTAACCCTAATTGAAAAACTTGAGTCCCCCTTCCCGTCACCGACGCCGACGCCGTCGTCGTAAGCTCGCCGTCGGAGTCTTCGTGGCCCGTGGCCCGTCGCCGTCGCAGTGACCACGCCGTGAGCTCGCCGTCGCCTTGATCTCGACCTCACCGTCGCCTGTCATCGTCGCAGTGACCATGCCGTCGAAGCTTACTGATCCTTCGAAGATTGGTGGGCTGTTGAACGGGTTGGAAACTATGAGGATGAATAACCCCTTTTGGCAGTCTTGATGGTGAATCTTTGGTGGTTTTTGCTTTGGAGAATCAGAGAGCAGGAAGCTTTGTAGGAATTAGCTATTATAATAAAAAAAAACAAAGCCTTTAACCCAAGTTTGCAACTATCTATTACATTCTTTATTATTCTTTGCATGTTGAGAGTTGTTTCTATACTTAAAATTGTTCCTAATGATGCTTGTTTAAGCCGTTGAGCCTCCGAGGCGAGTAATGACCTAGCTAGAAAAGGAAAAAATAAGAAAGAAGAAAGAAGAGGGAAAATTGGATTTAAGTTAAAATTGTTCTGTAATATGTGTATCTGAAATATGTGTGAGTATGTTTTGTAACATTTCTCAGCTTTTGACTAAGTTTGTGACTGTGAATGTATCTTAAATACGTGTGAGGATGTTTAGTAACATATATGTGAGGATGTTTTGTAACATATCTCAATTTGTGCAATTAGTTGTGACTGTAAATGTATCTCAAATTGGTCATTGTTAAAATTTGTTACATATCTCAAATTGTGACTGTGAATGTAGTGGTGAGTTTGTAGCATATTTTAGCTTGTGACTGTGTTTGTGATTGAAAATATAGCGTAACCCGCTACACTGCAAGTGTAGCGGGTTACACTGTAAGTGTAGCGTGTTACACTACAAGTGTAGCAGGTTATCATGTAAGTGTAGCGGGTTACACTATAAGTGTAGCGGGTTACACTGTAAGTATAGCGGGTTACACTGCAAGTGTAGCAGGTTACTCGTTATACTTGCAGTGTAACCCACTACACTTACAGAATAACCCGTTATACTTGCAGTGTAACATGCTACACTTGCAGTGTAACCCGCTACACTTGCAGTGTAACATGTTACACTTACAGGATAACCCACTACACTTACAATGTAACCCGCTACACTTATAATATAACCCGCTACACTTACAAGCTAACCCACTACACTTATAGGATAACCCGCTACACTTGTAGTGTAACACGCTATACTTACAGTGTAACACGCTACACTTACAGGATAACCCGCTACACTTGCAGTTTTACTCGCTACACTCACAAGATAACCCACTACACTTACAGTGTAACACACTACACTTACAGGATAACCCGCTACACTTACAGGATAACCCGCTACACTTTTAATCACAAACATAGATATGTTACAAAACATCCTCTACACTTAACACGCTACATTTTCAATCACAAACACAGTCACAAGCTGAAATATGCTACAAACTCACCACTACATTCACAGTCACAAATTGAGATATGTAATAAATTTTAACAATGACCAATTTGAGATACATTCACAGTCACAACTAATTGCACAAATTGAGATATGTTACAGAACATCCTCACATATATGTTACAAAACATCCTCACACATATTTCAGATACATTCACAGTCACAAACTTAGTCAAAAGCTGAGAAATGTTACAAAACATACTCACTCAAAAGCTGAGAAATGTTACAAAACATACTCACACATATTTCAGATACACATATTACAGAATAATTTTAACTTAAATACACTTTTCCCTCTTCTTTCTTCTTTCTTGTTTTTTCCTTTTCTAGCTAGGTCATTACTCGTCTCGGAGGCTCAACAGCTTAAACAAGCATCATTAGGAACAATTTTAAGTATATAAACAACTCTCAACATGCAAAGAATAATAAAGAATGTAATAGGTAGTTGCAAACTTGGGTTAAAGGCTATGTTTTTGTTTGCTATAATGGCTAATTCCTACAAAGCTTCCTGCTCTCTGATTCTCCAAAGCAAAAACCACCGAAGATTCACCATCAAGATTGCCAAAAGGGGTTATTCATCCTCATAATTTCCAACCCGTTCAACAGCCCACCAATTTTCAAAGGATCAGTAAGCTTCGACGGCGTGGTCACTGCGACGGTGACTGGTGTTGTGCGCAGCGGAAATTTCGGCAGCACCTCCGGTGCGTAAGGTGCACAACAAGAGATTAGATCACAATGAAATTCTCGTTTCTCAAAGGAAACAAGAACTAAAAGCTAGATATCTCATCAAAGTGAGATATCAGCTCTTCCTCTCGTCAGCTCTAGGACTGCACGTCAAGGGAACCTACAAGCTATTACAAATCACGACAAGAACACAAATTTTTACGTGGTTCGGCAAATAGCCTACGTCCACGGGGCAAGGAGGGGGAGATCTACTATTAGAGGGAGAGATACAATTGGGGTTTACAATCTCACAAATAAAACCCTCTCACAAACTTTCAGATCCCCTCACACAAATATTCTCTCAAAAGGGGTGCACAAATCAAAGAACAACTACAAAAAAGACTTTGCTTCTTCTCTATAAATAGCCGCCAAAATCTCTTCTGTGTTCTTCACCTGCAGCCGCAACAAGCCTAACTCCCGCAGCCGCAACTCACCAAACAAATCCTCTGCCTCCGCTAAAAAAACCCCTTTCACATAACCCTAGGAAGACTTCACATTATCATTTATATAAGGGTGAATCGGGTAGGCTTTCTTTTGCCTGCTAGTCACACGCAACGAAGCCAAGTGCTGGCCCCCACACTCAATCCGCATTCACAATTCTCCACCTTGGTGAAGTTTCTTTCAAAACTGAGCCGACACCAAAGCATCCAAAAGTCCCACTTGTTCGACAACAAGTCGGGAACCTGAACGAGAGTCCAAACAATCTCACCCCATCAAAATCAACTCACCAAACCGGCTGCATCATAAAGACTGCCTACGTATCCTCTTGTCCAAGGAATCAAGCCGTCCGTAGTTCATCCAATAGCCTTGAAAGGCCTCAACACCGAAGAATGTTCAAAAGTTCCAAACAATGACCAAACTTGACACCTGAAACAACTTTGGTCAACATATCTGCAGGGTTGTCCTTCGTGTGGATCTTCTCCAACATGACGTCTCCTTCATCCAAAACGTCACGAACAAAATGGAATCTGACATCGATATGCTTCGTGCGTGCATGATAAACCTGGTTCTTCGCCAAATAGATAGTCGACATGCTATCATAATATACCCGAAGGGTCTCCTGTGCAAT